TATGTATGTATGTATGTATGTATGTATGTATGTATGTATGTATGTATCTACCCATCATCTATATATTCTCCTGCTTATTAAAGACCTGGAGGACTGTGTCTCACAAAGTGAGGAAAGGAGTGTGCAATCTATGGTCTAGTTTTTAAAGGTTTTGTCTAATATCAAAAGTGGCTTGATGTACATATGTATCCAAAGGTTGCAAAAGTCCCCATTAGCCACTTTGTGAAGGGGAAGGATCTTCTCTGAAGAGGAGAAGATGGCTTTTCACTGTTGCATGAGTTTCCTATATGAAATCCTTAAGTCGGTCTGAATGAAAATGCAGATCTGGGTAAGGAAAGTTGGTGGTTAGAGAGCTCTGCACGTAGAGGAAAAGAAGTGAGAGGATTGAAACTTAAAGTGGAGCAAGAAGCAGAGTTGCTAGATGGGCTGGCTGGTGAGCAGGGGCTTGAGTGCAGCAAAAGAGGGGCGATCAAAGCTGTCATCTGTGGCTGAGTGTCGGAACATGTCCAAGAATGAAGTAGATTAAGGAGAATTCTCAGTGCTTGTGAGAAAATTTCAACAAAACAAGACAAGAGTCTTGTGACCTCAGTTTCTTCAAAATGTGGAACTGTTCTTAGAATGTGTTTTTGTACTCCTCTCAGGCATGTCAAATAGGACTGAGTTCCCTTCAGGTTATTCATTACAACTGGATACTGTTGTTTGTTTACAAGTCTCTATGAAAAGTAATCACGTTTTGCCACATGCAATTGGTCCTTGTGATTGTACACTTTATTTAGTTGAGTCTTCTTAGCTCTCAGAGTATAAGTTGTCCGATGCTCTGTGTAAAAAGTTGGCTATTGCATGAGACTTGGGTCGGCCTTATCTTTAGGCTCCATTCTCCCAGGCCCCACACCACTTCTAGAGTGGTAAGCAGGTGAGTTTAGGGAAGATGGACTAGAGTAAGATAATCTAGTAAGACACATACATACCTCTTGTAGCTTGAGGCCCTGTGATGAGGCCATAAAGGCTTAAAGATAAGAGATTACCTAAATTAGGTAATGTAAGATCTTCTTGCCTAAATTATGACAAAACAGATCTAATTGTAAGATCCGGTTTTATAGCTCAGTGTGCCTTGAGATGATTAATGTCTTGATCTGGGAGTAAATATGAGTCAAGTTTTATTGCAAAGTAAAACTAGGGGTGATTTTCTTTTGATAATCTGGGATTCAAATTTGTCCCACTTCTTCAGAATGTATCCCAGGGCTAAGTAAGTCAGGGGAATAAAGAGCATGAGGCCCATTATGTAGGTCCTACCAGAAGTGAAGTTTTTACCCAGAATGCACCACTTGGAGGGAGCAATAGAACTTCTGCATCAAAGGCAAGACCTGGTCACAGTGCCCTGGCCCAGTGAAGATTTGCTTGTAAGTTAAGGTGTCGCTTGAGAAGAGAGACTCAGAGGCTGGAAAGATGATGGCTCAGCTGTGAAAGGCTGGGCCTACAACCAAAAATATAAGAGAATAGAGGCCCTCCTGATGCATGGAGGGTAAATCCAATTTCACTCAAGAGCCAAACCTGTGTAGCTGGTGAAGCCGAACCAACACTAAAAGTAAAATCTTACAGTCTTAAACCAGCTGAGGATCGGTCATAAGGGGAAAGGAAAAGGCTCACGATCCAGGACAAAACTAGTAACCAGTGGGTCTCTTAGATCAAAAGTCATGCCAGGAGCCAGAAATTACAGGCAACACCATTGACCCCTCATTCTGCTCCCACCTGCTCTGGAGAGCAGCAGCAATGCTTGGGTGGGGAAGAGGAGTGAAAGAGAAGAGGAAAGAAGATATCCTCACAGTACTTGTGGATTTGCCTCAGGCAAGCTACTGCTGCCTTCTGCACTACACTTTGAGAGTGAAGCGGCCTTTTGTTCTGACAAATTATAAGCGGGTCTGTTCTCTTTCTACTTTCCAGGTCCTACCAAAGTATACCCTTGATAGATTAGTTACTTTTCTCATTACTGTGACAAATTACATGTATAGATGATACTCCATCTTGATTATTATTTGACCAGTTATTTCAGCACTGTAAGATTCCATTTTCTCAGCTATAAGATATCTGTAATAATAGTGGTTACTGCATATAGTTATTAAGTAGCTCACACACATGCAATAGCCAGCCTGGTACACAGTGCTAGGTAAATGTTAGCTCCAGTGTGTGTCTAATTGGCAGGCCTGAGGATGTTACTGGGGTGGCATTCTAGGGGAAAGGGTTTGTGACATGTATCATAATTCCAAATAGACTCACAAAAGGGAAATATTGTAGTCTCTCAGGCGTGACCTCCAAGTTTACTCAAGGAAACATCTGTCTTCCTCTTACAAGCAAACGATTAAGAAGGGGAAACAGAGAGAGTGATAGAGAGATGAAGACCGAGAGATGGAGACAGACTGTTCTTTGCACTCACAAATAAGATCGAGAGCGCTTTGTCTGCTTCTCTTACCAAATCTGGGCAGAGACTTAGACAAGTGATAATCTTCATTCAGCTCCATTATTTGTAGATATTTTGGTGTTCTATAATAAGAAGGCACTAAATTATGGCTATCTCTTTTCAACTTGACCCTAAAACATTGTGTTGTGAAGAAGAATGTGTTAAGATTAATGCCTCATCTAGCTCAGACATTTTTAAAAGTAAATATCTATGTATTCTTCCTTTGTTTTGCTAGGGCCTCCTGTGTAGCCTGGCAGGAACTTAATAAGTACTTAACTGTTTCATGAGTGTTTGTAGTTATAATCAGATATGCACCAGGATAATAAAGTATAGTTAGAATCAATCAGGTTAAACAACTGACACCCTGATATGGGAAGTCCACTAGCCATGCAACAACGCCATTGCCAGAGCTATCTTTGAATTCCTTACAGGGTCTGGGACAATTCTCTTTAGGCTATGCTGGACCTCAGGAATAAAAAAGTGACCACTGGCCTTTAGGTGAGATTTGAACAAGATGTAACATATCACACACATAATCTTTGGGATGGAAGACCATGTGAGGATTCAAGCATCCATCTTTGTAGGCTGGGGACCATTCAACCTCTGTGTTTTATTTCTTTATCACAGAAAGATAAAATAAGGCTAGGCAATCTCTCAAAACACACATACCTTTCACCGACTATGGTTCTATGTTTATTTGTGGCAGGTACTTTGGGAGAGGAAACAGTATATTCCCCAGTTTCAAAAAATGCTTCTCACAGAGAGTCCAGAATCTATGATGAAATCCCTGAGTCCAAGGTGAGAGGATGCTATTCATGATCCAAGGTGAGAGGATGCTATTCATGAATACACCCTACCACTGCCACCACCAATGGGAGCCTTGAGCAACAGTTGCCCTCTGTTTGCCACTGCATAGAAAGAAGCTACAGCCAAGAATCTGGAGGGACCAACCAAGAAACACCATGCTAAGGAAATGATGCCATGGATCTCCCCATGAAAGCAAAGCATAGTCCATTGTCTCCTCATGACAGCCTCTATGGTATAAGGCCCTGAGCTTCACATGAGGGCCTAGCTGTGGGTTACATGTGATTCGTGTCTATGAAGCCCTCCCTTAGAGAAACCAAGCAATAGCAGCCTCCTTTTTGTGAGATGAGGAGTGCTATGGGATCACCAAAAGGGCTAAGTTTGTTCCAAGAATACAGAAGGAAAGATAGACAACCTTGAACTACACTAGCTGGCCCAGCAGCAGCTTGTTTTTCTCAAATTCTTAATCTCTCTGTCCCACACCTTCCTCCTTTTGCTTGCTTTCTCATGGCTCGCCTCCACCAACGATCACCTTCTGCGCCCAGATAAGCCTGCTTCCTTAGAATCTGCAAGGTTTCTCCAGTTACTCTGACACCGTACTTGGACTGATTAGGATGGTTTTAGGATGCTCTTAGAGATTCACATAACTCACAGAAAATTAAACTCATGACTAAGCAAGATTCAACTCTAAACGACACAGAACCCTCCTCTAACTCCTAGAGGCCTTTTGCTACAGGACTATGCCCAACTCCACCCATTTGTTCTTATTGCTACCTTAATCTGATCCTGAGTTGGAAGGAACAAGAGCTGATGCCAGAAAAGAATCCCACAGTACAGTGGGGTCAGGAATGGGTGGTGGAGAGACTGTAATTAGGAAGAGAGGCTCTTAAGGTTTGTCTTCTGCACTCTCGCTGAGGAGAAACTATCTCTTTTCCAGGTGTTGTCCTGTAAGGAAGAGCCAATAAACACCATTTACTCCTCAGTGCAGGCTTCTGAGAAGGTAAGTCCGGCGTAGCTTCTTAATGTTACTTTCTCCATATGTTCTACACACCTGCTGTATCCCATCCATCAGTATTTACTTGAAAGCCCAAGTCTCCTTGAGGCAATGGAAAGTTGTTCACAGCATCCTAGGTACTAGATCATGGGACATCTAGTACTTAGTGGCTAGACCCCAGCAGTTATTTATCCATGTTAAGGTGAAAATGGAATTGCTGGGGAAGGGAAAGAACTAAGGCTGATAGGAACAAATAATGCATCCTGGATGCTGCTTGAAGCCTAACAAGCAAAACCAACTTCAAACACCTTCTTCTGGGCTAAGAAGTTTCCTGGGGCTCCCAAAGGGAACAGAGATAAAGGACTCACCAAAACAAGTACCCTTTCTACCCACATGTCCCCAAGCACAAAGGAAACCTATGACATCACCCTGTGCCATTTTCTTAACTCTCCTGGTACCTCAGGGGACTCCAGTTCCCCAGAAACACCTTTCAGCTAACATGTTTCCATCTTTCCTTCTCCTACACAGATGAGGAAAAGCAACATGAAGGATGACAGACCTCCCAAGACTTTGGATAATGAAATTGTCTAGTTAAACAGACAGTATTATCCCTGTGGAGACTAAGTTACAACCAGTGTGAGGACAGGTGTCCTAGACACCCAGACCTTCCCTGGCTGCCCCCTTAGCTGGACATTGCAAATCACCCCACTTCAGCATACAAGCAGAGCAAGAAACTTCCACTAGTTTTTAAACTCTATTTCATTTGGCATATTTAAGCCTCTACCTCCCTTCCATCAACCCTTTAGCTAGGTAAGAGGGAGAAGGTTAGTGGGGAGAGGGATTCAGAGACCTCTTTAATCTCCTCCCCCCTTCCCCACCACTGTTTAAGGTCAATGGGTTCTTTTAGGGCTTTGCCAATCTCTGTCAACAACAAATGCAGCCAGCAGACTCCTCCAAGCTGCTTCACTGAAACATTTCTCTCCATCGGTCTCCTCCAAGCCACCATAACACTTCTCTCTACCTGTCTCTTCCAAGCCACCACACCATCCATCTCTGGTCTCTCCAACTTGCCATACCTTCTCTTTTTGGGCTCTCATATTTATATATACCTCAGCATCCTAGACCACACCCTTCTCCATGGTGCACTAGGCAGGCAGTTACCAGCTGGCAAAGGCCATACCCCGAAGGAGGCAGTTATCAGCTGTGGACAAACTAAAATCCCACATGTGAGATTAAAACAAAAACACATTTATATAACATAACTGAGTTTTTAAAGAAACCAAAACCTCCATTATAAAGTGTAGGCTGCATGGAAACCCCCACTCTTTCCTCAGCTCAGGAAGCATCATGCAACTGCCACTATTAGCCAAATATACTACACACACATGCTATTTGGAAAGCTGTGGGCTGTGGCCCTTTGGCCAGGTAGATACATCCTCTTAGTGTAGAATTAGAATATGTCCTTTCTGTAGAGACTAGAGCATTGGAGATCTTCAGAAGCCTCACAGGATTTCCTTTCTGGTCAAGGTTTCTTTCCCCATGTTATTACTTCACTCAGCCTCAGAGGAAAGATGCCTTGCTCAAGAGCTTCATTCTCCAAAAAGAATTGGGTGGCTACATTTCTGACACTTTGAGGGAAGTGGGTGTAACTAGGCCATCATCACAAGAGATCTTGAAGAATGCAGAGTCATTTCCATTCCTAAGAGGGAACTTGAAAGAAAACAGTGCAGATGGTGAAACCGGGTTCATTCCAGTTCCTATGTTTCAGCTCAGAGAAGAACAGGGTTCAAACTGAGGTTGAGTTCCTTCACTCCAGCGGCTCCTCAAACTCAAAAACCAGGTGGCTAGCCATGAGGAAGAATCCTCTAGCTGGAAAGGATAGCCTGTGATCATTCAAGGACATGTTTGTCTTTTGTGTTAACAGTCCTTACCAGCTAAATCCTAAATGTGCATGGACAATCCCAAGCTGTACAGCAGGAATGAGCTATATTTAGGTATAATGGAGTTGGTGTCTCACCAAGGCATTTGAAGATGTGAGAGATATTGCTAAATTGTTCTCTGAAAAAGTTGAACTGACTTATTTTCACTCATATATCCTTGCTCTATCTGACAGGTAAAATTTTTGTTAAATACTTGTAAGTAAAAGGCAGCTCATGCTTAAACATTATTGATGACTGCATTCATTCCATTTTGAAAATCTATTGATACCTGTCAGGTCCCACAGAAACCCTGGACAAATGACTAACTGGAGTGCCTTTTAGCATATCAAAGAGCATTCTGAACAGGCTTGCTCAGACCTGTGGCTCCTCTATGCTCTCTTCTCAGCCCCACCCCCTATCCTAACCCTTCCAGATAAAGAATTTCCCATTCCTTCTCCCAGCTTCTGATTCCTGTATAACCCATCCATCTCAGCCATGCTCTCTTTCAGCTCTTCCCTCTCTCTTAGTCTTCTTAGCCCTCTCTCCTCTCTCTTGTTCTCACCCTGTCTCTCCTCTCATAGCCTGGTTTATTCTGCTGACCATGTTCAATCTACTTTCTCTCTCTGCTCTGGACTCTTTCAGATGCCTCTAGATGTACACTCCCTCCCATCAACACTACAAACCTTCTCCTTGTTTGGTTTCAGGAAGCCCTAGGTCCCTATCTGCTGCAGGGCATGGCTGGCATACCCTGCCCTATAACCTGAATTCCCTAGCCCTGGGGGTGGGGAGCGCTTCCCTTCTTCCAGAGGCTTTTCATTATATAATCCAGACATTTTGGTTCCTCTCTCTCTCTCTCTTTCTCTCCTGCTCTCTTCTCTCTTTTTTCTATTTGTCCTCTCTCCCTTCTCCTCCTCCTCTCTCCTCTCTCTGTGAGCGCTTTTCTCTCTCCTTCCCTCTACATGGTAGCTGCTCCAATAAACCCGCACTTATATACTGACACTTCATTTTTGAAATTAGCCCATTCTGCTGTTTCAATCACCTGGTGCCTGTGACTCGGAGGAAGTTGACCCTACCTAAGCTGGACACATGGGGCCACTCCCTTCACCTCATCTTTCTCTGTCTGATTTGCCTGGAAACCTGGGAGGAGTTGAGGCCCAGACCGGTAACCCAGGTCTTCCCTGGCCATATGGGGACTACTCCTCTCCTCTTATTTCCCTCTCCACTTGTTGCAACTTTGGACTCAGTGAGTGACCCATCCCCCAGCTACTGCCAGGAGATACCAAGGGGATCCAGGACCCCTTGGACTTGCTCTGCCAAGATGTGGTCATGCTAGGACTAGTCTGTCTGGAACCAGGCCTTTGTTCTGGGGTAACCTTACGTTTTGGAGATGTCTGATTGTAGGTTAATCCCACCAAATTGCCAATCCCAAAGGATTGAATTGGGACACTACATCCATACTATTGGGATTCTGGCAAACGCTGCTAAGATAGGTGCCCCTGCGTGTCTTCGGGAATTTTTCCAAACTACCAGGTTTGGGGGAACTATTCTCTTGTCCCTCCCCCTCTTCCACCTCTTGTGGCTGCTTTCTACACACAAGGCTCCTACCCCCTCCCCCTCTACCCCACTACCCTCCCACCCATTCATGGTCTCTCTAGGCGGCAGTGGCAGCAGCAGTGGCAGCAGCACCGGCACTGGTGGTGGTTTTAAATCGACCATGGCCAGCCACTAACAATGCTGACTTTGAGATGAAGAGGATAGAGCCACGGCCCCACTGCCACCTTGACTAAGGGCAGGCACATGACTGGCAGCCATCTTGGTTGTGGGAGAGTTGTTTCACCGCCATCTTTATTGAGGGCTGCCAGGTGCTTTCAGTACCATGCAGACAAATAAAACTTCTGTTTTAAACTTTGGCTGTTTGGCCTGTAATTATGCAATATGATAGGATCATCAGGATTGCCAGTCTCTCTATGAACTGTACCTATGATTGAAAGTTTTGCTTTAATACTAGTTTAGAAATAATTTGAAGTCATGCTAAGAACTGATGCAGTTAATTACAAGATTAAGCTTTACTTAGTCTCTTGTTTTACATCTTCAAGGTTACCCCTAGGAAAGGTAACTAAAAACAAGCAGTTTGTTTAGCTCAGCTGTACTTAATAGATTATGGTCCTCAAACCTGTCAGAGAACCTGCAGAACATGATATTTAAATGTTTAATTAAAAAAAAAAAAACTTACTATGACAGAGACCCCAGCTTCTAGCAGTGATCCCAAGGCCTCTGAGAACTGGGCACAATGACAGAAGATTACACCTGGATTGTGATACTGGGCAAGACTGCCCCAATGCCTCACCCTCTGCTAAGGCCCTGCACAAACTGTGGACAAACTGGACATCCAAAAGTTGACTGCCCTGTTTTGCCTAGACAAAATAATGTCAGTCATTCTCTAAGTTCCTCCTTCACAGTATAGTCTCTCAGATTTGCCAGGCCTGGCAACCAAAAACTGACACTGCCCTAGAACCTGTGCCCACAACGAAGTCATCAACACCACAGCGAAGGTTGTGTAGATAATGGTTAAGCCTCTGTCGTATTAATCAATAGGCCGCTTGGATTTGCTTCCTGCAGTGATATATCTTTCTCAGCTCTCTGATGGATCTGAAGATCAGTTTAACAGCAGAAACCAAGGTTTCCGCTGCCGTCTCAGAAAAGTATAAAGTTTATGTAAGGTCAGCTGTGGGGCTTCCCCTCTCCCAGTGGCTCTTCACTATATAATCCAGGTATTTTGGTTATCCCCTCTCTCTCTCTCTCCTCTCTCTTTCTGTATCTCTCCTCTCTTCCTTCTCCTTCTCTCTCTCCTCTCTCTGTATGTACTTTTCTCTCTCTTTTCCTCCCTCTGCATGGTGGCCAAGTGCTGTGTCCAATAAGCCTGCCTTTATATATTATAACTTCATCTTGCCATTAGCTCATTTTGTCAGTTCATTCACTCCTCAACCATACCTAGGAGCAGCCATGTCCTCATTTTCATTTATTCAGCAGTTTCTCTCATTGTATTGGAAGTTTGGGTTTCTTTAAAAACTCAGTTATATTATATAAGCAGGTTTTTTATTTAATCCCATAAGGGGATATGGACCCACTCAGCTAGAGTGTATACCCCACCCCTGTTCATTTACATGTGCCCCAATTTTCTCAAATGGTACCTCCTCTAAGAAGCTTTTCCTGGCATAAACAGTCAGAATTTTGTACTTTTTCTCTCCCTGTTGGTCCTTTCTTCACTCTAACTCATTTCATTTTGACTTGCAAAAGAAGCAATTTTTTGTTTTCCTTTGTGTGACAAACACAATTTAAAAAAAAAATCTGTTACTTTTATTTATCAGTTTCCATTTGCATTTGCCATCACCGAACATAACACATGTAAGAGCCTTTGTTAAAATAATAAATGCTGTTGCATAGAATTCAGAGTGACCTGTCAGCTCAGAAAAAGGCACACATTGAAAGTAAAGATGGATAGAAGCCAATAGACATAGGGAAACAAAATTACACTAAACATTATTCATAAAGATGCAAACATCAGATACAGCCTTAGTGTAAGAGCATTTGGAAGGAAGAGACTTTCTGACAAACCACAACTAAGAGGCTATCAAAAGCCAGGTGTAATGATGAATTGCCTATAATCGCAGCACTGAAGTGGCAAAGGCAAGAGGATTCAAGGCCAGCTGCAGCTACACAGCCAGTTCAAAGCCATCCTCGGCTACATGAGACTTCCATTTTTAAAACAAACAGACAGACAGACAGACACATAGACTTTTTTCTTCTCCTTGGAACATGGCCTGTGCATGAGGTCAGCTGAAGTGATGAAGTGATGAAGACGCAGTGCCCTGGAAAGGTACCTGTAGAAAGGAATAAGAGACTTGGTCATAAAGGATAGAGCAAAATCAAAGTAACTTCTCAGAATCACTCCTCTTCCGGAAGTTGAATTGAAGAGTCCCTCCTGGACAGAACACATTCTCCAACTTGCCATTTCTTCTCCCTGATGAGCTCAATGAAATTTCCAGCATCTTAAAGCTCTGGTGTAAGAAGTGGTCGAAGAGAGAACACAGGATTGGAGCCTACTATAGAGGGTCCTCTGAAAGGATTCACCCAACAGGGGATCAAAGCAGATGCTGAGACTCAGGGTCAAACTTTGGGCAGAGCACAGGGAGTCTTATGGAGGATGAAAGGGGTGGGAATAGAGCAACATGGAGGGGACAGGAGCCCCATACGAAGATCAAACAAACTAAAATGTATGAGCCCAGGGGGTCTTGCAGTGACTGATGCACCAACGAAGGACAATACATGGAGAGGACCTAGACCCCCTGCTCAGATGTGACCGATTGGCAGCTCAGTCTCCATGTGGATCTCTTGAGTGAGGGGAGCAGGGGCTGCCTCTATCATGAACTCAGTTGTCTGCTCTTTGATCACTGCCCCTGGTGATGCGGCCTTGCCAGGCCACAGAGGAAGAGGATCCAGGCAGTCCTGATGAGACTTAACAAGCTCTGGGCAGATGGCAATGATGAAGAACTCCTCCTTTCAATGGACTAGGGAAAGAGGATGGGGGAAGAGGTAGGGAGGGTGGGACTGGGGGGAGTTGAGGGAGGAGCTTCAATCAGGATATATAGTGAATAACTTGTGAAGAAAAAAATTAAAATTAAAAATTAAAAAAAAAAAAGCTCTGGTATATAATGCCAAGTGTAAAGGAGTAGATGCACAAGCTGTTTAGACATTCTTCAAGACCAGTTGTCTTTGAAGCATGGGAATTCTTAAGGTGGCATTTAGGCTCAGGACCAGCCTGCATTCTTTCCTAGGAATCCTATGATTTTTTTTAATTTAATTTTATTTTTTATTATTAGTTACATTTTATTAACTCTGTATCCCATTCCCTCATTCCCTCCCAAGCCCTCCCTCCCTCCCTCATCTCCTCTCTGCCCCTTTCCAAGGCCACTGATTCGGGAGGACCTCTTCCCCTTGGAATCCTATGATTTATGAAGATATAAGATATTTACTCCCTTCTTAGGACTCAGGTCTCAGATTCTTCTGGGAAAAGTTAAGAGTGTTATTATTTTTCCCATTTAAATCTGTTAAATGAACTAGATTGTGACCAATAGGTCCATAAAAAAAATCAAAGTATACTTTCAATAGAACAGGAGCCATGTTCTACAATGTTCCTTCCCCAGCAAAATTGAGATGGTCAACATAGTGTCCTCCAGTGGAAGGTGCTGGTAATACAAGACGATCCCTCTTCATAAACACAAAACTTCATCAGGGACTCAACTAAGTAAATGAAAAGGTGCAACTCATTCTCCCAAAAAAATTAGGGGAAAATTTGAGCTTATTTAATTAGTTTTTAATCTAAAATTTTTTCCATAAACCAGACAGCCCACAAGAGAAGAGCTTGGCTGAGCCTCCTTGGAAAATGGCTTCACACATAAAGAAGCCCGTGTGGTCTGGGCTATGTCAAAAGAAAGTGAGAGACCAAAGAATTAAAAATTAGGTTTTTTTGAGTTATTGGTTTAAAGTTTAAAGCACAAGCCTGAACAAAGGCCAGACAGGTGGAGACATGTCCAGCCACCTTCAGGGAGAAACCAGCCTTACTGCATTCTTTTCCTGCCCACTAGAGATACAGTTGCTAGGAAATGGCCCAGATCACCCCTCTCCCCTAGGAAAACCAAACAAGGGAAGCTGAACCATTAATGGTTTGGAAGCCTTCCTAGAGCCAATCAATTCAAAATGCAACATCCCCTTTTGGGTTTCAATCAATAAACACTTGCCAGGCAGGAATCCCCCTGCTTTGGGTGTGCTGGGAGGGAGGACTGGGACCTTTAAATCACTCACCTACCCTGAGCACAAGGCCACTCTCCCAGCCTGCTGTGTCAGGAGGAATTGCAACCCAAGTATGCTTGTAATAAAAAGATCCTCATGTATTTTGCATCGGACTCGACTTCTGGTGGTCTCTTGGGGGACGGGGGTCACAATCTAGGCATAACATTTGGAGACCCCAGCGAGATACAGAGATTCCCAGACCTCCAAGATCTCGATCCAGGGGGGTCTTGTGCCGACTGGTAAGTGTCTCTGTGTAGTGTCTGTGTCTTGTGTCTACTGTCGTGTCAGTTCTGTTGAAAAGCCTCCGGAAGTTGGTTTAAGCTGCAAGACGTGGCTAGAGCAAATGCGCTGTAGAGCCACAGCTGTAGGGTAAGGGAGACATCTCTGGCCCCGGGGTGGACAAGGAATCCCACCTTCAGTTGCAGAGAATTTCGGTGGACGTGGAATCCCATCTGGTGGATGAGGAATCCCACGGTTGATTACTCTCCTCTCCGGGTTGCTTTCAGATTCAGTGGCAGGAATCTGAGGGTCCAAGCTTCCAGATCTATTTCTGTTTCCAGTCACGGAACGGCTACTTTGTTGGTGTTTGTCTTTCTGTTTTGCTCCTTGTGTTTATGTGTCTTTGTATTGGGCTGTGACAGACGCTATGGGACAGACTTCCTCTAACTCCTCCCCATTTTTCCTGACCCCTCCACCCAAGCGTCATGACCCCATCCTGATCTTCCCGCCACTGCCACCTGCTGCCAGCCCCTTCCCCTCTGGAAATTAGGGAGCGCCAGCGGTGGGCATGGGATGGGTGGGGATGCGACATGGAACCAGGGATGAAATTGTCAGGGGGACCGCCCCCAGCCAGCTAGCAGCTGAGCACGCCTTCATCATGGCGGTGGATCCTGCCCCCAGTGGCAGCACCTGCCAAGTCCCATGCCAAAGAGCTGCAGTGAGAATCGGATTCAACAGGTAGCAAGATGTTCCTCCCTGGGATGGCTACAGTATGCAGAGTTCCAGGCTTGGCACCTCTGCCACTACTCTCTTAGCTTGGCACCTCTGCCATTTCTCTCCGGTCTCTGGTCTGGCCAGGCCGCCGTTTCAAGCTCTGGTGTAATTGGGTGGAGCTTGATGTCAGGGCAGGCCACCCCTAACGGAACAGGACAGAGGGCCCATTGAGAGACAGGTCACTGTTCCTTTGGTTTTTCCTTCTTCTTCCTTTCTTTTTGCACACGTTGTAACAGTACATTGTTTTCTTGTGTTGTTCTTTTATGGGTTTACTCGTTTGTTTATGATGGTCTCAGTAGGCTGATGACCAAACAGCTGTGCACCGTGGTGACTTTGCCTGCCCCATGCTCCCAATGCTACAAGCTGGGGCACCGCTGGTCACTGGTGGGAGCGTGCCTCAGGGCGGGACAGGTAGAGAACGGCCAAGGGCAGGGCATGCTACACGATCTTGCCCTGACGGATGGAACAAAGTACTTGAAATTACAGCTGGATAGAGTAAGAAAAGTTTTTTCTGTCTGTGTAAATGTATATATGACCATTACATGTTTATTTCTGACTGATCTTAAATGGTTTAATATGCTCTGTATGTCTTGGTTATAGATTAACAGTTATTGGATATGTTTAAAGGTTAAATTCAAACTCTTGTTGAGATCATATATATATGTACATAAGTGTTTGTAACATCTATAGAAGCACAGATGTTTTTAAATAGCAACCATGTGGCCTGCCATGTGATGTGACTCCACCATCTTGAAATTGCCACGTGGTATGGGGTAGGGCAGAAAAAAAATTACAGAACCTCTTAGTCGTAATGAATTTTGTTTATCATCCCATTTCCTTTTAGACTACGAAAGCAAGTCTCATTTTAAATTGTTATTTATTTTAGAGATTGAATTATTTGCACTGGTAAAATCTAGTTTTGACTTTTAAAATTATGGCTATGCTTTGTGATTTAACTCCCAAAAAAGGGTACTTTATTTTGATATTGCAAAAACAGATTTCTTCTAAAAATGTGTTTAAGGCTATGAAACATTTAAAGTTTATCAGGTATTTTATAAAAATGTCTTTATGGATTATATATATGTATATGTATATGTATATGTATATATATATACACATTTATATAAAATTCAGAGTTGTGTTTTTGCAGCATGCTGTGTGATTCAGCCCTGCTTTGTAAAGATCTATTGAAGAGTTTAAGTTAGCTTGGGTGACTCCATTTTGAAATGAGAAGCCATCTTGACAGGGGGCTGAACTCTGGTACCAGGAAATATCACAGAACGTACACTTGGCAGAAAACAAAGTTAACTCTCCTAGCAACAGCTTCCAGGAAATATCATAGAATAAATACTTGGTAGAAAACAGAGACAATCTCTCTGGCAATGAGAATCAATGAGAATGGGGAAAATTTCTCCCTATCATTCCAGATGTAGTTTAGAAGAATGACAATTGTGATTATGTGCCTCACCTAGAGGGTCACTTTGCCCCTATGACTTTTACCCTATCCTGTAACGCAAAGTCATGAACCCCCCTGCTTGTTGTCATGGAAACCCCCTGCTTTCAGTTTTCCCCTTTAAAAACCCTGCTCACACAGGGCTCAGTGTCCCACTTCTCTACTACTATGTCAGTGAGACTTGGGTCCTGAGTTTGATCGTTCTCATATTAAAGCTCTCTTGCTTTTGCATCGAGTCATCTCCTGGTGGTCTCTGAGGGTCTTGTGATCCTGGCATAACATTATTCAAATTAACAGGCTGATTTTAAGTGTGTGCCTGTCTACCAGTTCCTGAATGAACAAATTAATGCTTTTTCTTTCTGGCTGATAGATTTGGTATGGCCAGAATAGTTCAAGTACAGTTTAAAATTGTTCTATACTGTTCTGTTATGCAGTTGGTTCTAAAACTTATTTGATTATAATGTTAAAACTTGGTTATGGGAAACTAAATGCTCCACAGTGCTATACCATGGGAGGTGGCAATACCATCAGTGACACCTAATGGCTATGTTTTAAATTGCCAGCCACAGCCTGTAACAACACATGGCTAACCACCATTTTGGTTCAGGGTTAAAGAGAGTGGAGCCATGATTTTACCGCCATCTTTGTTGAGGGCTGCCAGCTGTGTTCAGTTCCCTGTTTACTATTAAGTGCAACTTCTGTCCTTTAAGCTTTTTGCTGTTTAGTCTTAATGCAATGTGGTAAGATCAGCAAGATTTGCTAGCCCCACTATGAACTGCATCTGATTGAAAGTTTTGCTTTATTTTTAGTTTAGAAGTATATTTAAAGTTATGCTAATGATTATAGTTGGTTACAAGATTGAGCCTTACCTAGTCTCTTGTTTATGTTTTCAAGGTTAAACCTAGGATGGGTAACTACAAAGTTCACCTATGTAGAACTACATGAAATAGATATGGTCCTAAAACACTTATCTAAGGAATATGCCAGAATTAGAAATTATGGCATTCTGTTTTACAGAATGTAATTTAGAGTAGATAACTAAAGATAGATAAAAAGTGACTCATATGCTGGCCCTCAAGCTTGTCAGAGATCACCTGTAAACTATGCCATTTTAACATGTGTAAGCTTATTATGACAGAGAGTCCCAAAATCCTGGCAGTAGCTCCCCAAGGTCTCCAAGAAGATTTTGGCACAATGATAGATGACTTTAACTCTGGATTGTGGTATGCTAACCACTGGGTGAGGCTGCCCCAACTGGTCCACTGCTAGGGCTCAGAAATAAAC